GCCGCGGCGACCCCGGCCCGGGCCGCGGACGGGAGGTCGCGCCGGGTCAGCCGCCAGTCCCCGCCCCTCGCCGGCGGGCGGGCCGAGGGTCACCTTCCGCCCCGCGCCCAGGGGCAGCAAAGCCACAGCCTCCGCCGCGCCCCGCCTCGCCCCTGAGCGGCGCGAACCGGCCGGTCGGTGAGGCCCGGCACCGCGGCTCACCTTCCTCCGCGGTGTCCATCTTGTCTGCGGTCCGCGGTGACGCAGCCGCGAGGCTCCCGCGCCCGGCCCAAGCCTTCCGGCCCGGCGGGCAAAGGAGGGAGGGAGGGCGCAGGAGCGGAGGGAGAGGAGCCGGCCGGCAGGTGCGTGCGCTCAGGTGCGACAGGAGGCAGGGGCGCTGGGAGAGGGTTCGGGACAGAAGCTGACAGAAAGCGAGCGCCCGCGGGGCAGGGGCGGGGCCGAGCGGCGCAGCCGGGGCGGGGCGCCCGACGCGGAGACGTCACTTCCGGCGGCCGGACGTGCAGGCTCGCGTGAGGTGGACGCGGGGGCGGGGGCGGCTTGGTTGATGAGGCTGCGGGTGGCCAGGCAGAGAAGCAGGCGGGCGGCGGTGTGGGAGGCGGTATCCAGGGGGACAAAGGGAGCGCGGAGGACCGGGGTGTGAGCGACGCGGGAGGAGCGTTTTCGTGCCACACCGGCGTCGCGCTGATGCACGTTTTGAGGAAGTACGAAAACATGATCGAAATGTATAAAGAGACAAGTGCAGACTTCACCAGAATTCCTCCCGAGGAGGCTTACGCAATTGGTTGGAAAGACAGCTTCATTAAACCCCTGAGGCCGGAAACCTCCGAGGGACACCTGGGCAGAGCTGATGAAAGAATGGTGAAAGGTCCCTGCACCTGGAGGTCACTGTCGTCACTGTCGGCCTCGGCTTCTCCTCCAAATGAAGAAATAGTTGGTACAGACTTAAAAATACATTGGGATTGCCCGACTAGAAGCAAAGAAGTCTTTCGAACCTTACTGTTTATATTTCCAGCCCCAATATGCAGATGACTGAGCAGAAAATGTCTTGCAGGAATGGCGTTTCACCTGTGTGAGGAATTGGGAAGACCCTTCCCGAGTCTCTGATCGATTCCCTTTCCCTAATGAGCAGTTACCCTGATAAAAGGCTTTAGGTCGCTTTGGGGAGGAATGAAACAAAGATTGACTAAGTTTTTGGTCCTGTACCAGGGTCCTTCCTCACTCAAGGGGTTCAGGATCTTTAAACAGGCTCACATCTGGGGCTGGCTGAGAGGACTTGATTCTCTGTTGCTATAAGTTGGGGTAGATTTCTGCTCATTTTTGTGGTTATATAAATTCAGTAAAAATTTACTACCAGCCTTCCTAGTTCCTAGTTTTGGCAACATCATAACTAATCAATGCCATAATAGCCTTGCTTTGCATTTGCTGTCCCTTAAGCAGTTAAGGACTATCGCTTGACCCAGCCACTCCAGAATCCAACTAAATCCATTGCCCTTAAGGTCCCAGTTGAATGACTGGTCCCCACCATAAGGTCTGGCATAAAGACAAAAGCAGTAATGAGGCTCTTGGGGGACATTTGTGCTCCCCTCACAAATCTCTTTAAGGTATGAGTGAACGATACATTTTCTGAATTGCCCCACTGTGGAAGGTTGGGTTTACCATAATCATCTCCAGCATTCCCATTTCCCTGCACTTTTGAATCCCCTCATCAGCAGTAAACTAGGAATATCGAGCATTCTGTAACTCATTTACAATGGGCCATCTTTTGATCCATAGTTCTGCCAACCAGCTTAATGAACTATTAGCATTTTTTTTTTTTAACCTCCACCAACTGCAACATTAAATTCAGAGTCTCAGCTGGGCATGGTGGTCCACACCTGTATCCCAGCACTGGGGAGCCTGAGGCAGGAGGACCTCCACAAGTCGAGGCCAGTCTGAATTACATAGCTAGAGAGACCCTGTCTCAACTAAAAAAAGAATAAGGCTTAAAATAATGGAGTCCTACAAAAATAGAGCAGCCCTTGTTGGTTTGACTAATGTCACTCATGTTCCTCAAGGCAGGAACAAATTCAAACTCTACTTGATACAATAATTTAGACCCACTGGTTTCAAGGGCTGCCCTTGAGATTTGAGCCAACAGCTCTTCTGTTTCCCAGGAAACTAATTTTGAAGGCAGCTCTTTCCCTGATCCCCGTCCTTCCCACTCACCTCATCAAGAGCTCACACTGTAAAGCCTGTTTGTGGCAGAGGTGAGCATCTTTCCTCTACTCAGACCCTTCCACCATGTCATTCCGCCTTGGTGCCAGGTGACTGTGGACTGAAACCTCTACAAACTGTGAGCCAAAAGAAACCTCTCCTCCTGGTATTGCAAGTGATGGGATGAGCACAAAGTGACTAGGACACTAGCTCTTAAGCACACTCATTTGGTTCAAGGATGGGCAGTTTGCCAGGCCAATTAACTGTCCTTCCCCGGGGATTTTAAACGTGGACCACAGATCATGCACTTTCAGCCTGATCATGTGAGGCTGAAGTTTCGAAGCTGAGAGCCAAGTGGAGGAATTGCGTTGGACAGCATGGACCAGTGGGCCGAGAAGTGAGCTACAAGATGGGGGCAGAGACCCATTCTACTTCTAGTGGTTCCTGAGGACCACTAGCAGTTTGTTCATATTCACAACACAGTACCCTCTTCACCTTTGCCTTAGTTACGTTCCTGTCAATGGCAACCAAGGGGGGAAAGATGCTCACCTCATGGCATCCAGAAAGCAGAGAGTCAAGGAACCTCCAGGAAGGGCGAGAAACCCACCCAGGCCACGCCCACTGTGACCCGAATCTTCTGACCAAAAGCACCCCCCATACCAAGCCAGCTACAGCACCCTGTCATCCAGTCACCTTCCCAAAACCCCACATGTGAGTGCATGAGGCTCTTGGGGGACACCTATAAACCATAACAGCTGGGAGCTGTAGGAACTTGCCACAACCATGTCCTTGTAACTGCCATATTGGCATGTATGAGCTTACTGTGCTGTGAGGATACTGTATGTTGTACCCAGGGTTTGCAAGGGAATAGACTTAACATAGGACACGTAATTTATAGGATTGTTTTATAATATTCACTCAAAAAGTCAAATGCAGAGAAGTGCAAGAGATCTGTCTACACAATGGATCCAGCCAATGGCCTGGATCCCACAGCAGTGTCCTGCACAAGTCCAGCTGAAGGCCTAGAGTCCAGCCAGTGCCTGGAGCCCACAGCAATGTCTCCTGCAAGTTCATATCAAGGATCTGCACCAGGAAGGCCCAAGGCCGCTGGGTGAAGAGTCAGTGCCACCAGGCTGAAGGATCTGCACCAGAGGCAGGAAGCACCGCTCAAGACAAAGACCAGAGCTCCCCTGAAGCAAACAGCAGCCTTGCCCAGCAGCAGCAAGAACTTGAGCTCCTCTGACCACAAGAACGAGTTCATATCAGAAATAAACAGCCACAGTCAGCTTCTCCAGGAAGATCAACAGCATGCAGTCTTCCCCCTCCAGTTCTTTTATACCGTTGGCAAATCCTCAGGTGCGTCTTCCACGTTCAGAGTCACCCTGACTCAGTTCAGCTGGGCGTCCCAAGTTGACCTTTAGTTAACCTACCACGATATAATAATGCTGGTTTCCACTCAGCAAGAAAATAAGAGGGTGCTGTGGTCAGGAAATGGTTCTTCCAGAGGGGCCATTGTTATCAAAAGCTTGGTCCCAGCATGGCGCCTCTGGCGGGTGGTGGAGCCATTAGTAGGAGGGTGTAGGTCCTGGCAGGTGGTTCTCGGGGCTCTCAAGAGCCGTTATCAAAACCTGAGTCAGACCTGCCAGTTCGCTATGGCCCGAGCAAGCTGTGACCGCTTCACCGTCCACCACTCTCCGAAAGGTTCTCACCAGAAGCAGCTTGCAACACTGGGAGCTAAGGGGCCTCTTTTTCTTTCTAAATTGCCTGTGTCAGGTATTTTGCTATAGTGACAAAAACCTGACTCATACAGAGTAGAGGTGTGGGAGGACACAGTGTGATTTTTTTGAGCACTAACTGTAATGATAACAAACTAACAACAGTTATTAAGCAAACATCTTATTATGCCCAATGCATATCAGTAGCAAACCTGTAAAGTAAATATTCCATTGTGGTGATGAGACAGCAGACTCAGCTGGGCAGTAGCTGCCCCAGCCACACGAAGCGAAGAGGAATCAGAATTACGAACAAATTTGCCCGTCGTAGGCCTCCCAGTCTTCCACCTTATCGTGTGACTTTTGCAGCCTCTTAAATGCCATTAAACCTTCAACTTTTTACTGGGAGCTTACAACAATCAGGAAAAGTACCTTAGCCTAAGTTTAGCATTATTGACATTAAACTACTAAAGGCAACTTAAGGCACTATGTTAATATTAAACTCTTCCTTTCCCATCTTCTCTTATTCCCTCTTCCTTTTTCATCTTCTTTTCCTTCCTATCTTCCCTCCCATTTTCCTTTCCTATTTCTCTTCCCTGAAGTGAAGATGCAGTAGCAGTATGGGCAAGACTGTGGCGGGTGGGAGGGAGGGTACAGGTGGCAGAGAAAGAGGGCCCGTGTGGTTGCACTTGATTCCGTGGGGCACGTAAGTAAATAGATTGCGAAAATGACACCCAAGTTTCCCACTGTTAAGGGAAAGTGTGAATATAGAAAAGAAGAAGGTGAGGAATAAACCTGAGTTGTTGGATTAGAAATCTTGGTAGTATTATGCATTCACTTTTTAAAATGCAAAAACAGATAGCTGGAGAAATTGTGCGTGTGTGTGTGTGTTTGTGTGTGTGTGTAAACTGACTTTCTAGTCTATCCTCTGAAAAGATCTACAGGTAATGATAAATTATGAGGATTCTGGTCCCTTATGCCATGTGCTCCCCTAAAAGGAACCACGACTCCTTTAAGAAATGGTGGCTGCTAGGGCTAGGGTAGACAAAGTAGAAGAGGATTGAGAACATCTTGGACTGGAAACTGAGGAAGTGCTCAAAAACTGACAGGTACTTGTTGAATGGACACAAAACTCAGCTTGAGGGGATTCTTATTGACCAAATTAGGGACCCCTTAGTATGAAAATACTTACCATAACAAAGTATAACCTAGTAAAATATATAAGCAGACAGGAAGAATAAAAGGTCTTCCTTTGCATTATAATGCCAGTCAGTCCATGAGAAGGAGTGATATAAATACAAAGTTATTTGTCAGTGTGACTGTTACTAGGCTGGAGTCATCAACAGATGGTAAGACCAGGGAGTGAAGTTTCGTTAAGGAAGAGACTCCACATATTGTTGGAATACTTCCCAAATGTTCTAAAAGAACAAACAGTAACCCGGCAGTGGACACTTCGGTGTGACTGAATGATCAAGGTTCACATTGCCAGTGATGGGTCCACAGGATGAGAAAAGCAAAGCTGCCCATGAGTGTGCTGGAGCCCATCATGAGTCATGAGGAGCCTCCCGGGGCTCAGGAAGGCAATGTGCGTGCTGAATTCTTTCCAGCCGTCAGGGGCAGGACCAAAAACCAAGGAACCACTTCCGATGGGAAAGCACTGAAAAGACATGCCATTAATGAGGTGTGTGTTCCTGAATGGGACCCTGAGCCAGAAAATTTTTTTTTAAAAAAAAGAGGGACCCTGGGGTATATGTCAGTGGTAAAGTGCCTGCCTAGCACTAAGGGAGCCTGGGTTGGAAACCCAACATAGAAAAAGAAGGGAGGGAGGGAGAAAGATAGAAGGAAGGAGAAAAGCAAGGAAGGAGGGAAGGAAGACATCCTTGGGACAATTGGCAAAATTAAAATTGAATAGAGTCTATGAATGGCAGTGTTGTAGCAATATTGAGTTCCTAATCTGAGAGGTCCTTGTTTGGGGAAATAGATGCTGAATCTTGTACAGGTGATGTGGAATTAGGTCTGAAGCTTTTCTCCAATGATTCAGAAAAAGACTGAGTATGATGCGTGTGTGAGTCAGAATGGGAGGTTAGCAATTGCCAGATCTGGGTAAAGGCAAGGAGAGAGTTGTTTTGCACTGTCCTTGCAGCCTTTCTAGAATTTAAAAGTATTTTAAAATAAATTTTTAAAAGTACTAAGTACTGATGCAACCCTAAAGCAGCAGGTCTCCAATTTGGGGTCATCTTGGTAATTGACACTTTTGACAGTCTGATAAAACCTATGGGCTTTGTTCCCGGAAACTCCACAAAGACAAAATGGGATTCATAGATGGCTTGAAGTCCGTGCATGAACCTGAGGTTAAGAGAAAAGGATGACATTAATTTCCCTTTCCAAAATTATGGCAGGCTAGGCTATTTATAACAACAGTTGAAAATGCTAGGTAATTATTTTGAGACAGGGTCTCGATATGTAGTTCATGCTGGCTTTAAACTGACGATGTAACCCAGGCTGGCCTTGAACTCATGGCGATCCTCCTGCCTCAGCCTCCCTAGTGCTAGAATTACAGGTATGTGCCACAACACCTGCCTGCCTTGCTTTTTTTTTTTTTTAAGTTCTTAAAAAGTTGTATCCATGAATCAGTCCTGGCGTAGACCATACCCTAAACTCACATATCAGTGATGTAATTATCTCAAGCAATGAATTCAGTTAAAAATAATCTTGGATTACTGAGAGTCCTTGAACTCACAGTGATCCTCCTACATCAGCCTCCCAGGTGCTGGGATTACAGTCATGCACCACCATGCCTGACTCTTTGATTTATCTATACGTTGGCCTTTTAATATGAGAAACCTGCAATATTTAAACTATATAGCTGATGCATTTCACTTAACTATGATCTCAAGGAGCATTCATTTCCTACAAATGACTCAAATTTATCCTTTCACAGAGTAGTACTCCACTGTGTGAAAACTTTCTTCTGTTGCTGGACATATATGAAAATATTTTTATTATAAAATATCAATTTTTACTGGAATTATATCTTTTGACACCATTTAAATATGAAATTAACATTCTTATTTGTCAAATTAAGGTATACATAAGTTTTTAAGTTGTGCAAAGCCAAGTTCTTAGCTCTACATTTTACCATCACTGAGAGCACACTTGTCCTTCTGCACATGGGACAGTGTCTGTGACGTGAGGCTCCTTCATGGTACAGCACATGTGCATGTGCTGATGTTTCCCTCAGGACTTCACACACAGTCGGGTGTCAATGGATGTTGGTTGAATAAATAAACTATACTCTTCCAGGAGATACCCTTAACTGCTGTGATGGCAGCAGGCATATGAATGCCTTTCTTGGGAAAAGACAAATGCATATGATAGCTGAAAACTCTGTCAAGTGCTCAGCTTTTATATTTGACTTTCTTGGTTGTAATGAGTTCACCTTCAATACTTGTTGCAGATTTGTTCAACAATGACAGGCACCGAGTCCAGTCAGATGGTCAAAATGTAAAACATCTCCCAAATGTTTCATGTGTTCAGAGGTGGTACTTGAGGAAGGTGATTAGATCCTAGTAAATGGGTTATTAGGAGTGGGCTCAGTTACAGGAAGTAGGTCACTGAGAGCACGGTGCCTTTGGAGGGTTTCTATTATTCCAGGCCTTTTCCTCTCTGGTTTTCTTTCCATCTCTCCCTACTTCCTGGCTGCCATGAGGTGAGTAGCTTTTCCTGACCACGACTTTCTGCCATGATGCTTCTGCCTGATCACAGTCCTCAAAGGAATGCAGCCAGTTGAACATGGATAGAAACCTCTGAAACTTGGAGCCAAAAGAAACCTGTTATGGTTTATAACCGGGTGTCCCCCCAAAGCCTCATGAGCTCAGAGGAGGGGCTGTGGGGAAGTGATTGGATCCTGGGTGCATTATACTCACCAGTAGATTCATTCTCTGATGAGTTTATAGCTGAATTCAATGTTGGGAGATGAAGCCTCATTGGAGGAGGTGGTCACTTGGGGCATGGCTTGGAAGGATCCATCTCTCTCCTCCTCCCTTGTTCCCTCTCTGCTTCCTGTCACCATACCAGGGACTGTTTCTCCTCTGCAATACACCTCAGCCATGCTGCCCTGCCTTGGAGCTAGTTGACTATGGACTGAAACTGCTACAAACTGTAAACTAAAATGAACCTTTCCTCTTTTAACTTGTGGGTATCAGGTATTTTGTCTCAGCAATGGCAACGTGACTAAGACAAAACCCTTCCTCCTTATTTTTCTCTCATTTTTAAAATACAGTTACTTTATTTCCACATTTTTACAGTCTGCAGTATTGTACCTGATAGGAATCTTCATCTCTAAAAACACAAAAATATTTCAAGAAAGGAAGTTACAAGATAGTACATATAAGCAATAGTTTGGCAGAATTTTATCAACTAGTTCATACCCCAAAAAATGAATTTTAAAATTCAAAAATAACCATTAGCTTTATTTAACATATGTTGCATCTTAACATTTAAAATACCATGCTCTAGTTAAATATTTCATCCACAACACTGTATACAAATAAAATATTACACAGAATATATTTAAGAAAATGTTTTGGTCTTTGATTTGAACAAATAAATAAAAACACAGGCACTGCTACACTGCGACAGGGAAGCGATCACTACTCAGAATGATAATTTTGTATAAGCAACATGTGAAAATATGGCAAGAATAGAAACCTGGAAAATACTATTTAAAAAAAGATACAATTGCTTTATTTCCACATTTTTACAGTTCCCAATATTGTATCTACAAAAATATTTCAAACAATTCCTTTTAAAATAGCATCCAAAAAATGAAATATCTAGGAATCGATCTAACAAAGGAAGCAAAAGACCTCTACAAAGAAAACTACAGCACTCTGAAAAAAAAGATCAAAGTGGATATAAGAAAATGGAAAGACATCCCTTGTTCCTGGGTAAGAAGAACCAATATAGTGAAAATGGCCATACTTCGAAAACTGCTATATAGATTTAATGCAATGCCCATTGAAATTCCAATAATATATTTCACAGAACTAGAGAAAACAATCCAAAAATTCATCTGGAACCAGAAGAGACCTAGAATAGGAAAAGCAATTCTAGGCAACAGAGGCATGGCAGGGGGTATCACAATCCCCAACTTGAAACTGTACTACAAAGCTAGTGATAAAAACAGCATGGTACTGGCAAAGAAACAGACCCAAGGATCAGTGGAATAGATTAGAAGATGCAGAAACAACTCCAAACATACTCAGCCACCTCATCTTTGACAAAGGAGTCAACCACCCTCACTGGAGGAAAGATAGCCTATTTAATAAATGGTGTTGGAAAAACTGGATTTCAATGTCCCAAAGATTAAAATTTGACCCATATCTATCAGCATACACTAAACTAAGATCAAAGTGGGTTGAAGATCTAAATATTAAAACAGAAACACTAAACTTGCTGGAAGATAAGTTAGGTAGAAATCTTGAAGACATTGGCATAGGAAAAGACTTCATGAACAAAACCTCAGTAGCATGGGAACTAGCACAAAGAATCAACAACTGGGATCTCATCCTATTAAAAAGCTTCTGCACTGCAAGGGAAACCACCAACAGAGCTAAGAGACAACCTACAATGTGGGAAAAAAATTTTATCAGTTGCTACTCAGACAAAGGACTACTATCTAGAATATATAAAGAACTGAAAAAAATCAGATTCCCCAAATTTAAAGACCCAATTCAAAAATGGGTCTCTGAAATGAACAGACAGTTCTCAGACAAAGAAGTAAAAGCAGCAAATAAACATGAAAAAATGTTCAACATCACTGGTCATTTGAGAGATGCAGATGAAAACAACACTGAGATTCCAACTCACCCCAGAAAGCATGGCTGCTATCAGGAAATCAATAACAAATGCTGGTGGGGCTGTGGGGAGAAAGGACCCTTCTCCATTGTTGGTGGGAGTGCAGATTGGTGCAACCACTGTGAAAATCAGTATGGAGATACCTCAAAGAACTAGGACTAGAGGTCCCATTTCACCCAGCTATTCTCCTGCTGAGTATCTTCCCAAAAGAATTAAAAGAATCATACCACAGTAATATATGTGCACCCATGTTTACAGAGGCACAGTTTGTAATAGTGAAAGCTTGCAAACAGCCCAAGTGCCCATCAACTGGAAACTGGATAAAGAAGATTTTTTTTTTAAATAAAATGGAGTCCTACTCAGCCATAAAGAACGAGAAACTAGAGACATTTATAGTTAAATGGATGCATATTGAGGCCATACTCTTAAGTGAAATGAATAGGACACACGTGTAAATACCAAATCGTTTCTCTAGTATGGGATAATGAAAGCGTAAATAAGGATTAAAATGATTAAAATGAATAATTGATAATTTGAAATAGGAAGAAAAGGTCCAAAGGGTAGGGTAATTTATGTTGGAGGGGAAGGGGAAAAGTAAGAAGGGAAAGGAAAAATTATGAGAAAAGGAAAAAATGGAAACAAAGTCTTTGTAAATAGGGAAGGGTGGAGCAGGTGAAGGGAAGACAGGGAATGGGGAAAAAATAAGAACCAAGATGCATCATGTTCAGGTACAAGCATCCAGTGATAAATATAAATGTACTGTATACCTAAAATGTACCAATAAAAGAACTTAAGCAAAAAATATTTCAAGAAAGCATGTTACAAGATAGTACATATTATTCCATTGATCATAGCAATGTAAAACTGCCATGTGTTTCTCATTCCTAACATTCAGATAAAATATTCACATGAAAATTACTTACAATGTAACCCAATATATGGCTGAAATGAAGGCCTCCAGGACACCTTTTTTTTTCTCCCAACTTATAAATACTTTGAAATACATAGTATTACCTTGGTTCATGAATGCTTCTGTTTGCAAACAATTCAGTTTGTGAACAGAGGTGTTTGGCAAAATTTTGCTTCTGTTTGCAGAATCCACATTGGGTGATGAACATGAACGAAGCCATCAACCCCAGAATCATAGAACAAATTAAGTTTGTAAATGGAGGCACCACTGTACAGGAAAGCTAAAGGAAGAATACAATGAATACCTCTACCCTCAACTTATATTCCATTATTAGTAACAGTTAGTGGTACTTATTTCAGCTATAGATTTTATTTTCTTTCTTTTTGGTACCGGGGATCGAATTCGGGTCCTTGTGCTTGCGCAGCAGGCGGCAAAACCACTGAGCTAAATCCCCGGCCCTACAGATTTTCTTTTCTACATCATTTGGAAATAAGTATTTGAGTATCTTTGCTTTAACACATTAGCACTATTTCTCAGGATCAGAATAATCTTTAAAACCATCACCATGCCATAATAATATCCAGACTCTAGAGTTGTCTAATTATCCCGAGGGTGTCTTTTATAATTTTTTTTTAAATAGGGGTCCTGCTGGCTTTGTGCATTGCCACTGGCTGGTCTCATAATCTTCTTTAGTCTGGAATGGTCCCCATATCTTTTGTTTTCTAATACCAATGGCTGTTGGCCACCAACAATTGTTTTATACAATATCTTTCATTCTAGGTTTGTCTGATTGATTCTCCTTGGTGTCATTTAACTTGTTCCTTTAGCCTTTGTGTTTCTTATAAACTACAAGTTAGGCTGAGAGGCTTGATTTGATTCAAATTAAACACAGCTAGAATCTTCATAGATGATGATGTATTTTTCACATTGTAAGGTGGTGACCACCAATTCTCACCATTTACTGAGTCACCTAAGGGGCAATACATTAAGGCCACAGTCCCCAGATCTTTTTTCATTAGGAAGGATGGCCTTTTTTTCCCCTTTTGCAGTCCTGGGAAATCAAACCCAAGGCCTCACGTATGCTGGATGAGTGCTTTACCACTAAGCTACACCCCCAGCATAGACAAATTTTAAAATTATTCTTCAGTTTGCAATTGCATTTATCATTAAAAACAGTCTTGTAGATATTCATAAATTTATTGTAGAAAACCTCGTAAGCTAAGACCTCCTCACAATTTTTTCCAGTGAGAGAAAACCTCAATTTCTTTGTGTCTTTCGTCTACTTCTGGCAAAAAGAGAGACAAGGCAGGGTCAGCTCCTACAGGTCTTCCTGTGTGACAGGTCTGCCGAGTGACAGGTTCCTTCTAAGACGCGGGAAAAGAGCAGCAGGGAACCCCTTCCTAGCGCCCCTCATCAGTTCAGAACCAGCCCCATTACTGCCCATCACCCAAAGGCCACGCGCACGGGAGGCCCGGATGTGGGGAGGGCTGCGGGGAGGCGAGCACCGCAGGAGACTCTGCTGGAACTCAAGCAAGATCAATAACTCCTGAACAAACACGGTTTCATCCTGGACTAAACCTACACGTCAGCAGGTGAGCTGGTGCCTGGCAGAGACAGGGCCCAGTGGAGCAAGCAGTTGGCACTGCCCTGAGATTGCAAATGGGGTCAGAAAGCAGGTGCCGTGTGGCATTCCACTTCAGAGGACACTTGCTGCCGAACACGAATTCTCCTCGGAGCCTGGCCCCACTCACACTTTGATTTCAGACTTGTCAGCTTTAGAGCTGGGAGAGGATACATTTTTGTTGTTTTGAGCCTCCTCATTTGTGGCAATTTGTGACAGCAGCCACAGGAAACAAACACAGCGGGTTAGGAAGTAGCCATGCCCGGAGCTACCCACCTGGTCACCAGTGTAGACGGCAGTGTTGGTTGGATCCCCCAGTGCCCACCTCCTGGGCTACACATGGCTAGGCATCGAGCTCAGGGCCAGCTCCTTTGGGATCCAAGTGACCAAGACTCACTCATGAGTCTTTCATTCCCTTTTTTCTTTTCCTTTCTTTCTCTTTTTGAGTACTGGGGATCAAACCCAGGATCTTTGCACTGAGCTATATTCCCCAGGTCCTCCCCGCTCTCTTGAGACAGGATATTGTTAATTTGTGAGGTTGCCCAGGCGGGATTCAAGCTTGCAGTCCTCCTGCCCCAGCCTCCCGGAGTGCTGAGGTCACAGGCATGCACCACCATGCCCAGCTTTCCACTCTTTAAATAAATATTGTCATCTGATATTTTGGCTTCTAACTTGAAATTATATGCAAATGGGCCCAAGTAACATTTGTTTGAGTTTGCAATGCTGCAGAAGCATAGCCTCGCAGGCACTGTTTTTACAGTCAGTACAGCACTCAGTAAGCGGCTCGAGATCCGGTGCTTCATCACAAGCTGGGCTTTGTACAGATGAGCTTGCTCGACTGCCGCTGATGTTAGTATTCCGAGCATGCTTGGGGTGGAACAGGCTAAGCTGTGTGTGATGTTCATAAACTAAGGGGATCAAATGCACGTTCAGCTGACAATATTTTCAAATCATGATGAGTTATTGGGAAGGAACCTTATCATAAGTCCAGGTGCATCTGTACTCACTGTCATGTAAAACCCTTCCTTACAACCTATGTCCTAGACTCTGGAACCCAAAGAAGCCTTAGGGATTAGCTGGCCTTGCTCACCCTTTATTCATGGAAACCATTAAGCTCTGAAGCTGCGCCTCCGGTCTTCTTGGCTTCATTTCTGCTGTAGACTGAACGTGAAACGGAGGCACCCCTGTACAGGAAAGCTAGAGGAAGAATACAATGAACACCTCTACCCTCAACTTATACTCCATAATTAGTAACAGTTAGTGATACTTATTTCAGCTATAGATTTTCTTATCTATAAGAAAGCCCCAGTGGACGGCATTGGGAATGGTTCTTCGAGTTGGATAAGGTTGAGAGTGTGTGGCCCCCAAGACAGCAGGCTCCCCCTTTCCCTCTCCTACATGAGGGTAGGTAAGAAGGCGGCCACTTGCCGTCCAGTGAGAAGGTCTCAGCCGACTCTGGGCCTTCCTGCTCCTCCATCTAGACTCTCCCACATCTCCTAGAACTGTGAGAATACGCATTTGTGATTTAAGCACCCAGCCTGTGCTATCTTTGCGGTGTAAGCTGATGAAGATGATCGTCATCAATTTTTTTTTTTTGGAGAGCTTATTCTGTGCAATCTGCTGTTAGGCCCTGAGAATAAGCAGCTTGGCAGGTCTAAGACAAGATTTCTGTCCACAAAGAGTTGGATTGGAAACTACTGCCTGGCTTTCCCGGGGGAGAAGCTTTCTATGGCTGCACTGGGGAATCCACGTCACGATTGCCACTCTGACTGGTTATTGAGGTCCAAATGGAAGCTCTGCATTCTTTGGGTTTATGCCCTCTGTTTGATGCCAAACGTTAAAATGTATGGATCCACACAAGTGTTATTTTTTTCCTGTGAAATCCCCATTCCCTCTAGCACTAACATCCACCGTTCTTGTAGATTTTGTTTTTGTTCCTTTGGTTCAGTTTTTTTGTTTGCCCTGAACTCACTATGTATCCCAGGGTGGTCTGGAATGCATGGGAATCCTCCTGACTCAGCTTCCTGAGTACTGAGATGACAGGCATATACCATCACACCCAGCCACCCCCCTAAAACGAAACCAAACCAGACAACAACCAGGCCCTTCTGCCAACAGAGCTCTTTCCCTCCATGGCAGCAACCGGTGCAAGAAGGCACACCACCCCTGCAGCACACAGCCCAGCACGATCCCGACATAACCAATGGCCACTGCCGGGCCTGACTGTTGCTGTGGCTTGACTGTGGAGCAACCCAAGGAAGGAGAAGACGCTGCCCAAGCACAGGGCTGCACCTGCGGCGAGCCGGGCCGGGGCTCCCACACAGGCAGCTTCTCCCCTGAAAGCTTTCCCAGCCCTGCCTTGCCCACCCTCATCCAGCGGTCTCTGTTCCTGTCCACCTGTCCTAAGGTTGGGTTGGGGGCTGGGGGCTGCCTCCCCCCCAACCCCCTGCCTGTCCCCAACCCCCAGTCTGTCCCGAGGTACAAATGACTGTGCCCAAGAACCAGCTGTTCCCTGTAGTGACGCATCAGTCTCCTCGGAGTGGCAGGGGACACTCAGTCACTCCTGGACACCCACGGAGCCTCTTTTCAGCTCCGGTGCTGGGGAGGTGGTTGCCATGGCAACAGGTGCAGCAGGCGGGCTGGCTGCTGAGAGCAGAGAGCTGCTCTGTCGCCCGCCCACGCTGAGGGGCCCTGCCTTCCCGCTGGGTCCCCGGAGCTCAAGGCCCCTCACCCACCCTTTCTGCATGCTCTCTTCGGCCTTGGCTCTCAGCACACCCTCACGCGGCAGGGCTGTTAGTGGTGGGCCTCTCTGCGTAGTGTAGCGTGGGACGGTGTTGCTTAGCAACAAATAAACAGTGTGAATCAAGGCTCCACTGAAGGTGCACGAGGCTGAGCTTCCATGGACACGCGAAGGCTGTGCTCAGGGCCGGGCAGGGAGGGGCGATCGGAGTCCCTCAAAGGGAGAAGGAGACGCACCCAGGGCCAAGTGAACGAACCCGGAAAAGCTGTTACCAACACCCCGGTCCAGGACGGCACATTTCTAGGGTCCTGGGGAACAGGGACATAACTTCCACCATCCTTTCGTCCTGCTTGTTTTTGTGTTTGGTTGGTTGTTTTTTGAGACTTGCTATGTAGTTCGCACTGGCCTTGAAGTCACTGTGTAGCTCAGGCTGGCCTGGAACTCGCAGCAATCCTCCCGCCCCAGCCTCCTGAGTCTTGGGATTATAGCCATGCACCACCACACTCGGCTCTGATTTTTAAAACTGCTTATTTTGAAGTAATTTTAGACTTATATAAAAGCTGCAACCCAAGGTACATATTCCCACATACATTTCACCCAAAATCTGCAAATACTACTATGTTGCCACATTGTTTACTGTTATTTCCCTCCTCCACGTATAACTTGGGTAAATTAATTTTCCTAAACTGAGAGTGGACTATAGACATGATGCCTCCTTGCTCCTACATATTTCAGTGCATATTTCTTTTTTATTTATTATTATTATTTTTTTGGTACCGGGAATCAAACTCAGGTCCTTGCACTTGCAAGGCAGGTGGTGGAACCACTGAGCTAAATCCCTGGCCTAAGCATATTTCTTTTTTAAAAAGGACATTTTCTTAGCCAGGTGTGGTGGTACACTCCTGCAATCACAGCACTCTGGGAGGCTGAGGCAGGAAGACTGCAACTTCAAGCCCACCCTGGAAAACTTAGTGACTTAGTAAATGTGTCACAATGAAAAATAAAAAGGGGCTGGAGATGCAGCTTAGTGCTAGGGGGTGGGTTCCATCCCTAGTACACTCCACCCCAAGGACATTTTCTTACATAACCACAATACATTAATCAAAATAAAGGCATAGCCTCACCACACCATTATTTTATACACAGACCAGTGCAAATTTTGTCAGTCATCTACTAACGTCTACTTTTCTGAAGCTGAATATTGTTCTTTTGTTTTCTTGAGACAGGGTCTCACTATGCAAGCCAGGATGGTCTGGAGCTCAGGGTGACTCTTTTGCCCCAGCCTCCCCAGTGCTGGGATTACAGGCCTGCACCACCATGCCTGGTTCCAAGAAGTTGTAAAATTTTTTTTTTTGGTACCGGTGATTGAAGTCGGGTCCTTGTGCTTGTGAGGCAGGTGGCAGAACCACTGAGCTAAATCCCTGGCCCCGAAGTTGCAATTTCTAAAAGTTATTTTTATTGTGGTAAAATACACACAGTATAAAATTTCCTAACGTAGCCACTTTTATGTGTACAACTTATGACATTAAGTACACTCACAATGCTGCGCTACCATTACCAGGATCCGTCTCTAGCACTTCCTGCTCCTTCCAAATGGAAACTGTGCCCATTAAACAGTAAGTCCCCATTTTCCATCCCCTCAGCCCCTGCCGCCTACCTTTCTGCACTGGACAAAGTTCGAGGAGGACCCCACAAAGAAGACACAGTGACCTCCAGGCGCCAGAGGCAGGAGATTAGGGTGTGGCAAAGGGGCTGAACAAGTGGGCATGACCTGTCAGTCACAGAGGTAGAAGCCCTGCACCTGCAGCCAGTCAGAAAGCGCGACCTTCAATTCTTCCGGCATGAAATTAAGCGGGTTTTTGATAGGACAGCCAGCCCGGATGTGACATCACCCTGCAGGAGGGAAACAAGATGGCCACCATTAACCTCACGGTCAGGACTCTCAGCCGCCTCCTCTCCCTCTGCTGAGCATAGTTCTTTTCCGACCTTTAATAAATGTAAAACCTCACTACAGTTTTTTATGTGCCTTGTCCCGTTCTTTGTTCAGGACACGAAGGACCTGGACAGAGTCTGCAGAACCCCAGAATACAGTCACAGCCCCATCCAGTATGTGCTGGACTCCTCACAGAAAAGCAGTTTCGGCTGCTGCTCAGTGAGAGGCCCAGCAGGTTCATCAGGCAGAGTTAGGAAGTCAGAGAGAAGGGGCAAGGAGCTGAAGGGCCAGGCTCTGATGGAGAGCCTCAGACCGGCCCAAGAGCAAAGGAGGGAGGCCAGCTTTTAGGGCTTAGCTTAGCAGGGGTCTGGCTGGTCACGGTGGCCCCTGGGGTCCTTACTGCTTTGAGAGGAGGGAGATTCCGTCTCCATGAGATGGACGGTCTCAGCCTTGTGTGCCACCATAGGCGGCTACAAGTCATTACTCTTAAAATGGATTCATATATTCTCTTCCTATTGCTGCCACAGCAAATCACACAGATTCAGTGGTTTGAAACAACACAACTCTTCTCCTACAGTTGGGGAGCTCAGAAGCCCTGATGGATTGCACTGGGTCAGCATCAAGGAGTCTGAGGCCTGTTTCCTCTGGCCGCTCCCGGGGGAGAATCTCTGGCCGCTTCCACCTGCTAGAAGCTGCTGCCCTTTTTATCCCTGGCCTCCTCCCCCCATCTCAGAGCCGTCAGGCCGAGGCCTCCTCTGCATCTGTCCCATCTCTGCCCTCCCAGCCCTGTCTTCAAAGGCCTCTGTGGTAAGGTGACACATCTACCAGGTAATGCAGGACCGTCTCCGTCTACTAAACGTCCTTAGTTCAGCTGGGCCTGTCAAGTCCTGCCCCGAGTGTGTGTGTGTGTCTGGGGATTTGTATGTGAACATCATCCAGAAGGCTGTAAGTCTATCTGTCACAACCTGTTCTATATTAATTAAAATAACACATTATTTTGTTAACCTAACAACAAAAACCGCTGAGATAGAAGGCCAGAAAGGCCAACTGCTCTTGCTGATACCTGGCCAGAGGGCTCTGAGGGAGTCACGTGTGCCAAGGCATCCGTGGGCTGGAGCCTAACCCAGACCCAGTCCACCTCCAACTCCTGGCCCTTGCTCTCCCTGCAGCTGTCAAAGCCACAGGCGTGGGCCGGGCCGGGCCAGCTGGGGAGCAGGTGGCTTGTCACCAGGCCATCTGCCCTCCCTTCCCACGAGCTCCTGGCTGTGTGGTCGGTGCCTCCCCTCTCCTGCCAGCCCTGATCCCAGCTGTCCACATCCTTCCTGCTGAGTCCAAATCACCCCCTTTTCCACACCTCCCACCCCCTGCTGTCACTTTGATCCTGAATCTCCCATTCCCCCTCCTCCCCTCCCTCCGAGTTTCTCCTCCTCCAGCCTGGGGTCAATTGCTGCCCCATGGAGTCCAGGAGCAGTAGCCCCTGGCCCAGGATCTGCCGTGGCTGCTGGGATGCTGGGCAGAACTCGAAGGGGGCGGGACACCTCATTTAGTGTCCGGGTGGCTTTCGTCTAGCACTGCAACCCTCGGGGGACGGGGCAGGTTGCTGTCACCACTGTTAGTCGCCAAAGCTTCTGCCTTTCCAACCTCCCTCTGTTCCTGGACTCCCGGCTCTCATCACAGGGGGCCGGGGGGGCGGTGTGTGCGTGTGTGCTGGGAGAAGAGTCTGAGTCGTTTCCAAAGTGACAGGCTCGGAGGGAGCAGAACACCTGACGCGGCTCCAAGGCCCCTTCCGCGCAGCACACCCCAGGCCGGGCTGAGGTGCCTTGTCAGCATGCCCGCCACGCCCCTGCCTGTAGCCAGCCCCGGCCCAGCTGCTGTCTACCACCGATGGACTGCTTCTGGACAGTCCCCACGCACGCAGCAGCTAACACTGCTCCTGTGCATCTAGCCCCTCTCCCTCTGCACGTTTTTGAGGCTTACGCAGGTCACAGCACGAACTAGTACTGCATTCCTTTTTATTGCCAAATCTGTTCCATTGTGCACACACACCTAGCACTGTGCAGACAGAACATATTCTACTATCCCTTCTTCAGTGGATGAACATCTGGGTTGTTTCTACTGTTTATCTATTATAACTAGTGCTGCTATAGCTGGGCAAGGTGGCACACACCTGTGATCGCAGCATTCGGGAGGCTGAGGCAGGAGGATCGCCGCCAGTTCAAGGCCAGCCTGGGCTACATAGCAAGATCTTGTCTCAAACAAATAAGGAACAACAACAACAAAACAATACATAGCGCTCTTCTAAAATCTTGATACATGTTTCCAGTTCTTCGGGCTTAGAGTGCAGTTGCTGGCTCAAATGGTAACTCAAAGTCTAACATTTCCAGGAACCGTTAAAGATCTGCTTTTTAGCTTTTAATAATGTTTATTAGTAGCCCATGCTCGCAGTGCATACTGATTACCCTCGTCATGGGGAGCTGGTGAACAGACAGGACGCGTCCCCATCCGTTTTACGCTGCTCTCCTCGCTCCTCTCCGCTCTCGCCTCCTGTGAGGCTTTGGGGCAGAGGGAGGTGGGGCCAGTTGCACACGGCGCTTGCACGGATCTGCAGCGGCACCGACAAAACGGCTGGGAGCGAGCACTTGGGGTGAGCCCTCCGCCCAGCCCCTCGCACTGGGCCCGCGCGAGGAGGGGAGGGCCGGAGAGGAGCTGAGAAACCCTGCGGCTGCGTGCCAGCGCCCCCAGGGAAGTGAGCACCCTGTACCGCAAACACGAGCAGATACACGTGAAGAGTAAAGGAGCGGGCACAGGCAGGGGGCGGCCTGCTCTCAGCCACTGCAGATGTTTGGACAGGGGCGGCAGAGACCCGGGCACCAGCAGAGGCTGGGAGGAGTTGACAGCTGAAATAATATTTGCCTCCTCCTCCAAGGGACCGGGCGTTCCAGCAGAAAGTCAGGAAAGGGCCTTCTGTGAAAAGACAGCGGCTTAGATTCCAGCCCAGCCCCTGGGAGAGCTTGATGGAGTTGGCAGAGGTGAGAAGAGGAGGACAGGAGAGAGGGGACACGTCTGGAAGGGTAAACTGAGGCACGGTGTCAGTGCCGCACTAGCGAGGCTGGACTTGATCCTGTGGGCTCTGGGCACCGCTGAGGCCTCGGGTGGGCCGGTGCTACGTTC